GAAATTATTTTATGATATTATTTTTAAAACCCTCTTGCTCTGTCAAGATATATGTGATATAGATAGTGTGGACATAGGAATCAACACTACATGGCAAGTGAGACTTGCCATTAATATGGCAAGTTATAACTGACAGTCATGTTATCTATAAACTCACTATCTCCAATATTGAACACTCTTTCCTTATAAATATAAGCAAATTTTGAACATATATTAGTTGGGATGAGTTCCTTTTGATAGTTTATATTCCATGACTAAATTTAGTATGGATATTTATTGGACCTGGAGGAAGAATTTATCTCTTTTCTGTTAAGTAGAAATATCTTTCTTAGTAATAGATATCATTTGGAACCGTTCACTGAAAGACTATAATTACTGTTATAACTAAAAATCCAGTATTAATTATATAAATTAGAATAAAATTTTGGTATTAATCATAGGTTTCTGAAAAATATCCACTATTAATTATAGATTAAAAAAAAAAAATACAGTATCAATAACAGTTTTCTACCTACAACACATTAATGCCCACCGTATTATTTTTGGAATGATGACCATTTAAAAAAAAAAAAAACAATTTCACAGAGTAATTTTTCCCGAAAATATATTTTCTACTTTTTATAGTATTTCTTCATTCGAAAAATATGAAGAACAAATGAAATCTTTTTTGATTTTCATTTATAATAAAAATTGCTATAATGCAGTTAGTGCTTGATTATTATTATCATATATGAAAATTGACTTCCATGAATAATTAAAATAACTAATTTTTTTTAAGATCTAATTTAATTATAAAAACATTAAGTACAATACATATTTTTTAAGATATAAACCATAATATTTCTTGAACTCAGGGGAAAAATCTGGTTATGCTGTCTTCACTTTTCTGAGCAATAATCTTCTTTAAATATGGCTGATTTTGAACGTGCAAAACAAAGCAAGAATCTGTCTGAGTTTATGATTTTGTAGGGAAAGTGCTGTATACAGTAGATTAGTGAATGCTTATAGAAAGGAAGCAATTGATGCAAGTTCTATAAAATTAAAGGCAATCCTAGAGAAAAAGACAAAACTGATCTTAGTAACAGGCTCTGCAGTGGCAATCTTGCTGCTGCTGTGGATGATAGTAGTTCCAAACAGATTGATACTTCCATTACATCTGAGAGAAGAATCCCTTTGGCAAAATTGTATAAACCAAGGTAATACCTGCAGATTAGTACAGTCACTAGATTATTCAAAGCTCTGTGTAGTGTGGTTTCCCAAAATGCTGCAGACCTCATGAAAGTGCATAATGTGACTGATGCTTTAACAGCTGAACAACATGGCTTATGCAGGAGAGTCACAAAAGGAGAGACCTGGGATCATGATTATGAGTTACAGTGAAAAAAAAAAATCATGAATATGGCAAGAACCAGCCTTACAACAAGCATATTATAAAAAGGCTTGTTTGAGCTAGGCCATAACAGAAGATGAGTGATGTGTTTTTGCAGCATGAATATGCAAGGCCTTACAGCAGCTTAAAGATCAAACAATGACAGTGCATGGTTGAATAACCTTGCCTCATCTGCTTTACAATCCTGACCTGGCACCCTCAGACTTTCAGTTGTTTGAGCCCATAAAGGAGGTACGAATAGAGGACAGCAGTTCTCTATGAGAATGATATGAAAGGGGGCAATTGATATATGTCAAAGAAAGTTGCCAAAAAGCTTCTACAAAACAAATATATCAGAAATTGTGCAGAATGGAATTGAGGACGAAATCTGAAATCCTGAAACTTGTCATTGTGGCCTGTTTTGTAACACAAGGAAACTTTGTTGAGGACCAGATTTGGAATCCTGATGCTTTTGTTTTTATTTTGGTATTCTTTGTGTGCTTTGACTATTAAATCTGTTTTAAGTAAAGGAAGAGAGACGGATCTTTCTGAGCAAAAAATTATCTAATAATCCAGATGAAAAGAGACTTTGTTAAGGGCTGTACTTGTAAGCCTGACATTTTTGATTTCATTTTAGTGTGCTTTGACTATTAAATCTGTTGTAATTAAAGCAGAAGAAGAAGTAATATGTGACTGAATTTTATATCCCGTTATGCTCTATTTGTACTCATATTTAATCAGATTTGTTCTGTGTGTGTGTATGCTCATTGAATCTTATGTGTAACCCTGTTAGACAAGTATCAGCAAATACAGGGTACAATGGGTAAATTGTCACCATTTTATATTTTTAATTTCATGCATTTGTGTTGTTTTTTGATTTTATCAACTGCACAGTATAATAGGGTCAGCTGGGCAACATCTGTGAGAAAAAGAGCACCATAATGCAATTCACTCCACCAAAAATTTGGAAATGTACTGCTTGGCATTCACACCGAAAGCTCCAATATGAACGTTTCAGAGTGTTTGGATGTGTATCTGAGGTCAGTGCAGAGGATTTGGAAAGAGTTGGATGAGTATAATGGTGATTACGAAGGTGTTTGGAGAGATCACTAGTGATGATGACATTATGCTTTCCATTCATCTTCCCACAGGTCCTGGACTCAACATGGAGGCCTACATCAATTGCCTTAAAAAGGTAGTGCTGCCCTGGGCCAAGAGGGTGGCTGCTGGAAGACCTGATGTCTGGCAACAGGACTCTGCACCATGCCACAAAAGCAGGTGAACCCAGTTATGGCTGTCCAACAATGTCTGCAAACACATTACCCCTTACATCTGGCCGCCTAACTCCACAGACTGCAACTCCCTTGATTATTATATGTGGAGTGCAATTTTGTGAGAGACCAACAAAACTCCTTGTAACACCAAAGACGAACTGAAGGCAAGGATTATGGCAGCATTCACCAATTTAAACAAGGAAACCATCCAGAAGAGTAGCAGGAGATTCCGAAGTTGTCTGGAGGTTGTGGTTGAAGTGAATGGCAATTTTATTAAATAAATTTATTCTTTAGTATTTCAAGATATTTTGGGGCAATTTTGGTAAATATATATGTTAAGATGAGATGTCAGTGTTATTTTCATTTTTTTTAATAATTTAGATGACAATTTATTCATCGCACCCCGTAGTAAGTCTTTTTAAATTGGAACATAACATTAGGGTGACATAAAACAATTGTTCTGCATCATTATCCTTTATTGAGTAAAAGCGTAAATGACATTTTACTCAGTGGAGATAGATACCTGTTTGGATCCACCCCACACTGCAGATATCTATGGATATTTATTCTTAAATACATATTCACAAATTTATTTTATGTTAGCTTGTATACATACATACATACAAACTAAAAATTATATTCAAGGGTACTGCAGAAAAGTTATGGCCTTTTTTTTTTAAAGGACTTCTTTTTTTTAGGCTAAGAACCTTTCAGAAAAATCTACTTATATAAATTTGATCACTTAGGATGATTATATATGATAGATGGCTGACATGAAATTTTCGAACAAAAGTGGAATAGATAAAAAAACAGTTGGATGTTGAAATTATTTTAATTTTTGTGAGTATAGTAAAAATGTAACTCATGTAAAAGTAGTCAAGCACTAAAAAGAAAATGAAAAGAATTTCAACATCCAACTGCTTTTCACCTACACCCTCTTGCGTATATATGAATCTGAGAACATGATGAAAAGTTCTCAGCCTAGAATCACATACTTCTAGAACAAACATCCAAATTTATGTTGAATTTTTTCTTGATTAAGTTGGGAACATTTCAGCACCCCTCTCTTCTGAAATGTGTGTGTTTGTGTATACATGTGTCTGTTTGTGCCTGAGTATATGTGTCTGCAAGTCTGTATCTTAGAATATGAGTGCACATTTGTACCTGAGTATATGTATGCATGTATATGCATTAGTGCCTATATATATATATATATATATATATATGTATGTACGAGATACCAATATATATTTTATATATCATGAACAGTATTGGGAAAATTGTATCATAAAGTGGAAAAAGTTTACTCGTCATGCATTTCATAAACACTTTGTCATATATATATATATATATATATATATATATATGTGTGTGTGTGTGTGCATTTGTCTCTGAATATATATGTATGTGTGTGTGTGTGTGTGTGCATGTGTGTGCCTGTGTATAATTATGTATCTGAATATATGTGCATGTTTGAATAGGTATGCATGTTTGCATCTGTGTATATGTGTGTATGTTTGTGTCTGAGTATATGTGTATGCATCTATGCCTATATATATATATATATAAAAAGAGACAGGAGGAAAAACTGTTCTTAGCCGGCATATTTTGTCCTCTGAGAGACTTTATCAAGGTAAATTACATGCCGATATATATATATGCGTGTGTCTGTGCATTTTTTGTGTCTGAGTGTATGCAAGTGTGTTTATGTATTTGTATATATGTGCACGATTGCACCTGAGTATATATGTGTGGGTATGCTTTTATGTATTTGGATATATATGCATGTTTATACCTGAGAGTATGTGTGTTTGTTTGCAGCTAAGCATATATATATGTGTGTGTGTGTGTGTGCACACATGTGGCTGTGAGCAAGCATATAAATTTTTACAATCTGATATTGTTCAATCTTCTGTAAGAGAAAGGTAAATAACACTATCCAATGCACATACATATGTGTGTGTGTGTGTGTGTGTGTGTGTGTGTGTGTGTGTGTGCCTGTTTCTTACAGAGATCTCAGCAAGCCAGTACATCTAACGCAAATGTCCATTATTAATCAGTCTAATGGTCTATTATTAGTTCCCTGGAGAAAATCAGAAAAACTCACCAACCTATCGTAGGAATAAATTATGCATAACCAAATCTATTTTATGGATTCTTGATCTTTAATGTTTTGGATGTGGGATTTAACAGAAAGATATGAACAAACAGTAAGACATATGGAGAGAAATAGACTGAAACGAAGAGGTTTAAATTGCAAGAGTAATATTTGAACAGCCCCACAGATAGGGGAAAGATGAGGAGAGAAGAGGGTATGTGAAAAATGAAAGGGATGAACTGGTCAACAGAGACAAAAATCAGGATATGGGGAGAGAGAGAGAGAGAGAGTAAAGGATAAAAAAAGAAAGAGAGAAGCAATAAGGAAAGACAAAGTTATACCAGACTGAGAGAGAGAAAGAAGGGGTTACTAACCAAGAGACAGAGGTGGGATAGAGACAAGATGAGATACACACAAACATATATATAGAGACCAGAGGTGGGAGAGTTGAAATGAGCATGAATGAGACAATCTGTGATGGAGAGAGAGAGAGAGAAAGAGCCAAAGCGAGCAAAAGAGAGAGAAAGAGAGATGATCAATGTTAAGTGAGGAGAGGAGAGAGAAAGATGAACACTGAGAAAGAATGAGACAAACTGACAGAGACAGTCAAACAAATCAAGAGAAAGAGAGAGAAATGAACCAATAGGGAAAATAAAATGATAAACTAGGTGGGTGGGGAGAGCAAACAAAAGGAAAAAAAAGGAAAAGAAGATAAACTGAGAGTGAGTGTGAGGGAGAGATGAATTAAGAGAGAAAGAGTATACAGGAGAGATAGACCAACAGAGAGGAAAAGAAAAAGAGAGAGATGGACTGAGTGGAAATGATGAACAAGAAATAGAGTTGAACTGTATGAACTGAGACAGAGAAAGAGGCTAAGTGGTGGATTACCAGCCAAAATTATGAGAGGGAAAGGAATAAAAGATAACTTTTAAGAGAAAGAGCAAGATATGGAAAGAGAGAGAGAGAGAGCAAGATATGAAGAGAGAGAGCAAGATATCAAAAGAGTGAGAGAGCAAGATAGGAAGAGAGCAAAATATACAGAGAAAGAAAGCAAGATATGTAAATAGAGAGAGAGAGAAAAATATGGAAATATATCTATAGAGAGAGCAAGATATGTAAAGGTCGATACAGAGAGCAAGATATGGAAAGAGAGAAAGAGATAGAGCAAGATATGGAGAGAGAGAGAGAAAGATATGGAAAGAGAGAGAGAGAGATAGAGCAAGATATGGAAAGAGAGAGAGAGAGAGATAGAGCAAGGTATGAATTGAATAGGAGGAGAAAGTTGAGATGCTGAAAGAGAAAGATAAATCTCTTAATAGGATGAGAGGAGGCTGCTGGCATTGGAATTTCATATCAACTAAAAAAAAATGCCTAATAAAGAGACCAGAACATTTTGGAGACATTTTTGATTTCTCAAGAATCAGTTGCTGGAGTTTTTAACAATATTTTTTTTATCGAAAAGCATATATCTTGTAAAACAATGATTTCTATTGCATATTTTTTACCATTTTTATAATGACAGACACTGAATGCTGCAGTAAATTACAATTATTACAACAGATGCACACCTGACAATTAAAATGAAAATGTTTGATTGTTTTCTTATTAATTAATAACTACATTTACTGAGATCAGGAAAAACTCCCTTTTAAAGGTAAACTAAAAGTGCCTCTTAAAGGTAAAGTAAAACAAAAACAGAAGGACAGATTTCTGTCTGAATTTCTAGGATGTGGAGCTATCATTATTTACATTATTTACACATGGACTATGGTCATCATCTTTGTTGCGATTATCACAACATTTCAACCCTTGTGTCCTTCAGAATTAATCAGGTACTTGTCAATTTGTGTAACCATTGAACAACTTTAAACTGAAATCTTTATTTAATCTACAGCAGGAGTTCTCAACCAGGTTCCATGTAATATTTCTGGGGTCCACAGACAAAATATAACAAATTGGGGGGTCCACAATGATATTTTGGTGGTCCATGAAGAATGCCAACTCAGAATGGTTTTTATTATTAAAAATTTAACCAAATTTAACTATAAGTTAACCATATTAAATCAAATTCTCTCTGAGACTGCCTTTTTCATGAATTATGTAAGCAAAATAGAGAAGTGTTTGTGTGGATTGTATTACATACAGAGGTGAGACGGCTTTCAAAGAGGAATTGTCTTCAGCGTTTCATTGTACTTTGGGATTCTATTGTTTCCTTCCTTGTTAACACACAACTTGGAGAACAACTGCTTGCAAATAAATGTGACGTGTTTTACTTATCAGATATATTTGAAGAATTGAATTCACTTAATAAACAGCTCCAAGGAAAAGATTCTGATCTGGTATCTAGTAAAAGTGCTATTGCTGCTTTTCTGCGGAAACCGCAGTTGTATCAGAATAATATCATGCATTTGAACAGTTTCCTTGTTTGGCCTCTGTTAGCAGTGATTTGCAAGATGAATATTTTGCATTATATGGTGAATATTTGGAAAATATGCATGAAGATATGCAAACTCAGTTTAGTGATCTACTCATGATGGAAATACAGACTTGGGTTTCATTTCCTTTCAAAGTTAATGTTGCTCATATAGACATTTCTTTGCAAGTACTCCTCATCGAATTACAAACTGATGAAATAATGCATGCAAAATTCCAAGATGGAAAATACAATATATGGAAAACAAATGATATTGCTACAAAGTACCCTTTGCTATGGGATAAAGCACAGCTCTACGTTACTGCTTTTCCAGCATCTTATGGATTTAGTCAACTTTTCTCAACTGTAATCAAAAGTTTTCAATAGACTTGACATTGTGAAAAGAGGTGATCTTCAACTATCATTAACATTGATGGAACCAGATATAAAGAAACTCACTGAGTAGAATCAACTGCAGGGATCTCATTCCAAAAATATGCCTTTCTTTTTCTTTTTTATAATTACACACTTAAGTTGGTTTATTAAAATTTTTAACAAGTGTGCATAAATAAATGTTGCAGTGAATTCAATTATCTAAAGATCTCTGCTCCCCATGGCCTTGACCATGGAAGAAACATTGTAATATTGTAATACAAGATATTGGTCAATAAAAATTATTATTATTAATGTCATAATTGTAGAATAATTTATTTGCATGAAATTAGTTTTCCTTTAAAAATAAAGCTTAGTTATATAAAATTTCTTTGATTATTAAAACCTCAAAATTTTTATTCGTGAAAAGCAGAATATTGTTGTCTTATGTCAAATAGTTATTAAGGGGTCCACCAAGAAAAAAAGAAGAGAAAAGGGGTCCATAGGTAAAAAAAAGGTTGAGAACCACTGATCTACAGGAATAGATTGTACTTGTCCCACTCATCATGTCCAGGGATATCTCAGCTAGTTCTTATTCAGTACTTACACTGTTTCAACTGAACTGAACTCCAAATTAATAGTATGTTACTAAATCCATGACCAACTCTTTAATCCAGTAGGCTACTGTCCCATGGGACAGTCCTGCATGGAGAGCTTGGAGCCTTAAACCTAACCTGCCTAACTAAGTCTATTAAACCACCTGCATATGCAAGCTTACAGCACGTGATATTCCCAAGCAGTCTAGATATTAACCAGGCTCGACATTGCTTATATTACGATTTTGGGTAACAACTAACAATGATCAGTCAGAGAACAAAAAAATAATCAACATTGGATCATTTAATTTCTGTCTGAATTTCTAAGATGAGTTATTATCAACCATTAAGACTAATATCCTCATTTTTGTTGTTATCATCCTATCATTTCAGTTATTGTACCCTGCAGCTTTTATCATATGTCTGTCAATCCAGGTAACTTTCAAGAAATTTTAAACTGAACCCTTTATTTAATCTACAGGATAGACAGTTCTTGATGTGCTATCCATCTTTAGGGATATCTTATCTTGTACTTATTTAGTACTGTTTGGGTAAAAATGTATGACAAAGCAGAAAAAAGGTTACATGTTTCATCCTTTATGACGATATTCAGTCACCCCCCCCCCCATGAGGGTGTCATTTGGGCATTCTGAGCCCGTGGGCTCAGCCAAAAATATGCCCATTGAACCCATATAAACGGGTTCAGGGCCGGCTCATCCCCCCGAAAGAGACTCCACCCTTCGGTGTAGCCTCCTTCGGGTTCCTCCCGTCCGTAGGAAGAGAGTACAACCGAACAGTCACTCAGAAAGTACTGATTCGACTTCAACGTTGTTGTATGCTCCCGCCTTCTCCACAGACTTAACTGGGTATTGAACTCACACTTAAGGCAGTGGAGAATTTTCAGAGGGGAATTAACAGGAGATAACTGATAACTGACATCCATTAAACATGTCACATGGAACTAGAACAGTCTCCCCAGTGAGCGAAATAAAGGGTTCAGTTCGACATTCCAACCACCTGAAGAAGGCCAGGCGTACAAACGGCCAAACATTGTAAAAATATGGCGACAAAGATGAGGACAATAGTCCAAATAATGTAAATAATGTACATATTGTCAGATATACAAACAGATACTGAAAGGCAAACATTGTAATAAATATGGCAATAGTCTAAATAATGTAAATAAGGTACATAATACCTCATCTCAGAAATATAGACAGATACTGAAAGGCTGAAACATTGTAATAAATATGGCGACAAAGATGTGGACAATAGTCCAAATAATGTAAATAATGTACATAATACCTCATCTCAGATATACAAACAGATACTGAAAGGCTGAAACATTGTAATAAATATGGCAACAAAGATGAGGACAATAGTCTAAATAATGTAAATAAGGTACATAATACCTCATCTCAGAAATATAGGCAGATTATGAAAGGCCAAACCTTGGTAATAAATATGGCAACAAATATGAGGACAATAGTCCAAATAATGTAAATAATGTACATAATACTTCATCTCAGAAATATAGACAGATACTAAAACATTGGTTTGTGGATGTTTGTGAAGTTTCTTGTAACCATGATCCAATTTTATAGCAATTCATAGAAAAATTCACTAAATAATTGAGCAGACAATACTTGTCATTCAAATTTAATAAAATATGAATAACCTGTGTATATTATATATATATATATATATATATATATAAAGGGAGTTCAGAGTACAAATGCAAGGAGACTGCTTCTGAAAAGACTGTTTCTGTCTTCATGTTTTTATGGAGATCTATACAATTACCTTGATATTTATTCTTTCTGATCGGTTTTGTTTTGTACTTAGATGTTAAGAATGAATTCAAATCAATGAGTTACATAAACTCCAGAAGATGGCGTCATTAATATTTATGGTTTGCTATGTATGGCTGATCGAGTAAACATATACATCATTGTGTGAATTGCGATTATGGTTTTATCTATGTTCAAATAATTTATATGATTGCATGCGTAAATGCCTATGAATATTTATTTCCATGTGATTGATGTCTGCATATATATCAATACACAAACATTATGTATATGTGTGTCATTAGTAGATATATAGGTAATTACAGCATAATCTATCAATGCAGAAAGGTTGGTAGAAAGACAATAGACAATGAACAAAGAACAGTAGATAGGTATATATATTAATAGGTTTTGGAACACTTACATGGAAAACATCAATATATGTCTGTTTGATTATATATATATATATATATATATATATATATATGAGAAAGGAAAGGAATGGTTAAAACAACCAGGATGTTACCTTCCTCCCAACTCAACTACAGATTCTTCTTTCATCGATTTACATCTAATATAAAACAACGTGTTCAAAAGCAAGAAAAGTTGATTAAAAAATTATAACAAGTTTTCATTGTTTGTTACTTTCAACATTATCACCACAAATGAAAACCGATTGTCAAAATATATCTTATTCATTTGCATATATATTCATACTAGTATATATATATATATATATATATATATATGAATGAAGACAAAAGGAAAACTTATCTTAGTTGATATATTTCATCCTCTTTATTTGCCTTGATAAAGTCCTTCAGAGGACAAAACACATTAGCTGAGATAAGTTTACTTTTTGCCTTTATTCATATTGTCCTTTTATGGATATACTATATGTGAAATTATAATAATATATATATATATATATATATATATATATATGTGTGTGTGTGTGTGTATATGTATGTTCATGCTGATAGATGTAATATACACTGTATAAGACAAGAATAAGTATGGGGCATCTATTTCAAACACAAGTATCTGCTAATAATTTTGAAGCAATAAAATGTTAGATTAGGAATAAATCCATTAATTCTTTAGAAATTTATATATATATATATATATATATATATATATATATATATATATGTGTGTGTGTTACATAAAATAAAATTCAAATTTACCTCATCAGAATAGCTATCAGAATGCCAACATGGTCACATATTGGT